TCTCTATCTTTAAACTTAAGCATTTACCAGACATTTCACTTTTAACTTTTATCTTTCAGTTCAACTAAGGAGAAAAAGAGTCAATAGTACACATGCTAATAAAACATATTCCATAAAGTCATTCTTAGCAAACTTTCCCACCCACTCTGACCTATATTCAGACTCTCATAATGCTTGTTCTATTTGCAGTAATAGACAGCATTAGAGCGTCACTCCTTTATGAGACTGAGTGATAAAAAAAAAGGCACCAAATTCCTACAGAAGTCGGGATGCCAACATTTCCATGGTCACTTGTGTCATTTAACACTTTCTAACACAAGGTTTTTCCCCTCGTTTTCCCCACTAACTGTGCGTGACAGTATGGGGATTTGTGGAGTAGCACTTCAACAGCATCAAACTTAGTATGAACTTGGATCGCTGAACTTTTAAAGATTAAGGAAACCTTCTTTCAATTTTACAACAGACTGATTAATTGCTTACTGTCCAGTGCATTGAATATTTTGAAATAGGCTATTGAGCTGGCGCAGACTTTTATTATGACATCAAGGTTGTATGTTCTGCGGCACGTTGCTATGGCAGCAACGTTGGAAGTACGCAATCGCAGATATTGAATGACAACGTAGTGATACACACGTGTCTGTGTACGGTATCTCAGTTTTTTTCACAATAACAAAGTAACACAGAAAAAAATCGCATTAATACTGGAGAGACTGAAATAAAGAGATATAATACAGTAGTCTTCAGTAAGGAATTCATTTTGCATAATTCATTATTCAACGGTCTTGACATACTGCATGTCTACAGAAATAAATGAGATTCTGATTCAAAACCGATTAATTAATAAATACCAACATTTGTTTATTCTCATATCTGAAGCAAAAAAAAAAAAAAGATCCATGTCTGAAATTTGTTAAGACATCAAAGACCAAAAGATGCTCCATCCCTACAGCAACCGACCAGGCAGTATTTTGTACTGCAGTTAGGTTATTTTGTGACGTTGCACTGCTTTGTTAATTGCCTGCAGTCTCTTGAGAAGGCATTCAAGCAAGAATTTCACTGTACTTTGAAGAATTTCATTGTATTACAGACACAAAGATATGCTAATATCTGTTGTCAAAAATAAATCCAGGGCAACCCTCATGTTATTCATCTTCGTATTGGAAGCATTCCGTAGAAATACCACCATGACGTAAAGTCAGACTTCCTAATCAGGTATTTATTACATTTTCTTATCCAAAATGCCAAGAGCAGCAATAAAAAGTGATGGCGTGTTGGTTTGCTTTAAATAAAGCTAAACTTACCGGGATATTCTTTGTGGCTGTATATAGTCGTTCAAAGAAATATTTACTTCTCAGTATTACAAAACCATCAATGAATATGCTCGTTTATTCAGGAGATCAGAAACAACAACAATAATAATAATATAATAGTAGTAGTAGTTTTGATCAATCCACTCTTTTATGAACATTGACCTGTTGTCCGATAGAACACATTTTGTTATTCCATATATTGAGGGGAAAATACGTTTGAATCTACCTCATGTTTAGCAAAGAAATTATTTTTATCTGCTTACCTGGACAAATGACAAGCCAGCACGTTTTTAAAAAATACAAATTAATTTAAAATAAATCGATATAAAGCAAGTATAACACACACGATATAACATGTGACAGTTATTTACCAGGTAATTTAATTGACAGGTTCAGAATGTTGGAAGTTTAACAAAGATTTGGTATAAAACGTTCATAGGCAATGCACTGCCTTACTGGAGCCGGTTCAGATTCCCAGCTGTTTTCTAAAAGGCCGTCCAAACTCAGTGAACGTTTTGGATATAAGCGAAGTAGGAAATGATTCAGCAAAAGAAACATGTCATGGGATGCAGTGCATTGAAAAACGAGCAGACAATGAAGCGGCTCCTTATTCCAGGTCAGTGCGAGCCGAGTGCTTAGTCTGCAGAAACAAGTGTCGCAGTATTATGAAGATTACAACTTCTGCTGTCACGTTGAGGCCAAAGCAGCGACCGAACTCCAGAACGGGGCAGATGACAAAGCCAGGGCAATCTGCATCTTAATTAGCACCTTAAAGAATCGACGGAGACATTAAAATGCAGCTTTGCCCACTATAATCCACTCATACCAATAAAAGACTTAGGTGCATCAGACATATTTATTTGTTTATTTATTAAACCAAGCCTGGTGCGCTACCTTGTGGTCAGCATATAAAACAAGGGACGAGGCATACAGTACTTGGTCCTTATTGATGTTTTTGAAATGATACAGTTCATAGAAACGGAATTACAGTATCACGTTTCCATAAGTTTAAACCCCTAGAAAGGTTTAAATACTAATATATATATATATATATATATATATATATAGTCTGTGGTGACGACTCCGCATTTTAAGACATTAATTTAATGCTCTGGCTCCCTCTAGTGGTCACAGCCCCACATCGCTACAACTACTACTACTACAGGTATGGGTGCAGAATGACGTCCGGCTGAGAAACTCCAGCTTGTTAGCACACCACCACAGTAGCATATTACAGGCTCGTCCTAGCCGGTCAAACGCCGTTTTTCCTTATTAAACGTCTGTTTGAACCTGGAATAGCTCAATGACTCGCTCTCATTTTGCTCCTTGGTTGTGAATATTATTCTTAGAACACAAATAGACGAAATATTAATTTAACATTGAAAACTAAAGTGTGAGAAATGCGACCCTTAACTGAGTCAGTCACTGTGCGCTTAGAGGGCCAGTTAAGGGATTCATGCGGCCTCAATGTGTGCAGGAACCTCCTGGAAGGTGCCGGAATACTTGCGCGACTTTCGACGGTTGTCATGGAGCTGAAGCTGGCGGGAGTCTGAGCCGCATAAAAGGCCTCAAGCATCATCGGGCGCCAGGGTGAGGGCGGCATGTCAATGACGTCACCAGGGCACAGAGGGGAGATTTACCGGGATAAACATTGGCGTTCTGGATTTTTGTCCAGGTTATTAGAGCGCCACCTTGTGGCTGCAGCTGGAAGGTAACCCGTTTCACACGTCTCCCTGATATTACATAAGAACATAAGAAATTTACGAACGAGACATTACAAGCTCGTTTGGGGAGAACTTAATTAATAGCTCAGAGTTGTTAAAATCTTATCTAAAAACCCAACCCTGGGTCTTAGTTTCCGCTACACTAGCAGGAAGACTATTCCATACTCTAACTACACGCTGTGTAAAGAAGTGCTTCCTCAAATTTGTTTTAAAATGTTCTCCCACTAATTTCCACTTATAACCATATAAGTTATCATCTCACAGTTCACTCAGAGGCTCATGACACGCATCAGAATTTGTTTTCATGCAAATTGTGTCAATTCATCATTCAGGGTTCACTTTTTTGTAGAGCCTGTAGTGGGCATTCTACAGTGAGCCTCCTCCAGTGAGTGTCCTGTAGTGAGCATCCTATAATGAGTGTCCTGCTGTGAGGATCCCGCAGTGAGCATCCTGCAGTATGTCCTATAGTGAGCGTCCTGTAGTGAGTGTCCTGCAGTGAGCATCCTGTAGTGAGTGTCCTGCAGTGAGCATCCTGTAGTGAGTGTCCTGCAGTGAGCATCCTGTAGTGAGTGTCCTGCAGTGAGCATCCTGTAATAAGGGTTCTGCTGTGAGGATCCCGCAGTGAGCATCCTGTTCTGAGAATCCTGCTGTGAGCGTCCTGTAGTGAGTGACCTGCAGTGAGCATCCTGTAATGAGTGTCCTGCTGTAAGCATCCCGCAGTGTGTCCTATTGTGAGCGTCCTGCAGTGAGCGTCCTGTAGTGAGAATCCTGCTGTGAGCGTCCTGTAGTGAGCATCCTGTAATGAGTGTCCTGCAGTGAGCATCCACCTATGAATGTCCTGTAGTAAGCATCCTGCAGTGAGCATCCTACAGTGAGTGTCCTGTAGTGAGCGTCCTGCTGTGAGCATCCTGCAGTGAGCATCCTACTATGAGTGTCCTGTAGTAAGCATCCTGCAGTGAGCGTCCTGTAGTGAGAATCCTGCTGTGAGCATCCTGTACTGAGTGTCCTGCAGTGAGCGTCCTGCTGTGAGCATCCTGCTGTGAGCATCCTACTATGAGTGTCCTGTAGTAAGGATCCTGCAGTGAGCGTCCTGTAGTGAGAATCCTGCTGTGAGCATCTTGTAGTGAGCATCCTATAATAAGTGTCCGTTTTAAACAGGAGAGAACTGAGAAAATCTTAAGGAGAAAGAATATAACGTTATGGAAACGTGAAACCCAACAAAACACCAACTGAAAGGTCTGTGATTGATGGCTTTTTGTGTATACAGCAGATGGGAATGAAAATAGCTGCTATTCACTTGTGTTTGCTTGTCCTCATATTGCTATAGAACTAGCTAATGAGTGCAGGGTAAATGTAATAAGGACACTGGAGTATCCAAGAGTACAACCAATCATGGTTCATTGCACTGCAGAGAAACATGCTGTGGTACTCGGCGGGGGTCTGTGATATTCACCTTCAAAGCATATGTTCAAAAGCACTCTTCTCACAGGTACTACCCCTCCCATGGACAGTTTTAAGGAGACAGAAACATAACCAAAGCAGCGTGGAACGAGGAACACCACGCGTCACTGTATAAAACACTGCAAACACAGCGACACAAGGGAATGCGCCATGTTTGGGTCAGTGGCTGGTGTCAGATTGCAGTATTGAAAGCCTGCAGAAGGGGGCGCCCCCTCACCGACTGCCACACAGGCATCGCTCCTGACTCTCTCTCTCTGTCTCTCTCACACACACACACACACACACACACACACACACACGTACACGTGTGCGCTAGTAGAGGTCAGGCTCCCTGGGAGACTTGTCGCTTGTCTCCAGTGACCCCAGACACTGTCAGTGTCTTCCTAGTGGCTCCAGTGCTTTCACACTTTTCACATCCCACCTGGAATGACGTGACCAAAGTGAGGCCTTTCAGTCAGCTTTGCCCTCCGAGGAAGGGGGAAGGACGCAAGAAAAGGAAACGAGAACAAATCACGCCATTAAATTTATAGTCTCTACCGATACACAGGATTTCTTTTAAGTACAGGAATAAATCACGATGACCTATCATCAAAAAATATAGCTAATACAAAAAATTGACACCACATCATACAGAAGATATTGCAGAAATGTATTCGTTACGGGCATAAACATTGGATCCACTTCATTATTGCTATTTCCATAAAGCTAGTGTTTATTAAAACTATACACTTGTGAAGCAGAAAGTCACATTAAGAGAATGAGGGATCCTCGGCCAGCTGAGGTGCGGCTTACTGGCCTGCCGCTATTTCCACGCAGGCCGCTGCGGCCTGCCGGAGCTTGAGTCTTTGGAGCGGAAGGACTTATCGGAGAAGCTGCCGCTGCTCTTGCGCTGCCGTTCCCTGGAGAGAGGGGGCGTCTCGCCTGGCTGAGCTCTGGCCTTGGGGACCCGCAGACTTTGCACCCGGCGCAGGGGCCCCTGGACTTTCTCATCATGGCTGCTCGGTGTCGCCGCCCTGGCTGCCGGCCTCTGCGCAGCAACGGGGCTGCTCATCCTCCGTGAGGAAGAGGCCACCGTGTTGCGGGCAAAGCCGGGCAGGGAGGCCTTTGGTGTGGCTGCCTCAGCGGGGCCGGACCCAGGGGCTGCTTGGGCCTGGGCCTGGGCCTGGGCCTGGGCCAGGGCACGCATGGTGGATCGGCACATCTTCTCCTCTGGGGGAGGCCTGGGAACCACCCGGGCGAGTTTGGGCTTTGCCTTGTGGATCGAGGGTGGGCGCGAGGTGGAGTCTCGGGCCCTATGGGAGATGGTGCCCCCCGCTGTGGCTCTCTGAGGCCTGGGCTCCTCCAGGGGCAGGCTGGCGCGCCGTGCGGCCTGGGGTGCTTTCTCGCCCCTGCCCGGGGTGCTCTGGTCCCGCTGGGGCCGCCGAGCCTCAGTGCTGACCCGATTCTCGGATTTACCTGCAGTACTAGGCGTTCGATTTAGTTTGGATGTGGTGACCACCTTGCGCATGTTCTGGTTCTCGGAGGGGTGCAGCGTCCTCACTCTGGAGTGGGATGGGGAACTTTTGCAAGCGAGCTTAGTTCTCGAGTTTGCATTTGTTGCATTAGCTTGCAGTGCTGCATTTTTCTGCGTATGTTTGCCCTTTGCTATGCTATTATTTTCCAGGCTCTGAAGACCAGGTGCAGCTGCACTAGTGGATGCAGATGGAGAGGGCTTGTCTGTGGATGCAGGTTCTGAGGCTGCTGTGGTGGATTTATGTGGAGATGACTTGTCAGTGTACCTAGGGTCGTCATGGGAAGTTACCGAATGCTGCTGTTCATTTGGTAACTCAGCACATGTGGTGAATCCGTCCCGCGAGTCTGAGATGCCGTCCACTTCCTGGTTGTCCAAGGTCACAGAACAATCCGTTTCTGGCCCAATTAAATGGAGAACAGTTTTTCTCCTGGATGGCGCTGCGCTGTCTGTAGGTAGAGGCACATCAAAGGTTGTAGAGGAAATAGTGCTGTTGCCCTCATTTTCTTTACAGGAAGGTGTTATCTGTGATGAGTCTCTTTTACTGTCCCAAACATTTCTGTGAGCCTCTCCTTCAGAGCTCTTGGCCGATGAAGGAGCATCCGGGCTTTCCACAGCCGTCTCTGGACTCGTGACGATAACCTGGCCGCTCACATGCAAGTTATGATTGTTGTTGTGAGAAATAAAATCGAACCCCTGCAGTTTCGGCGCCATCACATGGCGTTCCACGCTGACATTGATCGGCCCGTAACTCGTGGTTCTTTCATCAAGGTCCTCGGGACGTGTCAAGTTGGTGTTCTGCATAGAACCTGAGCTGAATCTCCGTCCGTACGGAGCATCACTGGCGTCCGGCCGGCCGTAAGAGGCGCCGGGGGGGGTGAGCCAGACGGGGCTCTTTCTGTGGGGGTCACGCCCGGAGCGGGGCAGGCTGTCGAAGCGGATGGGCTCCCCAGTGCCACCACGCTCCAGGTACTCCTGCAGCTGGCGGTCAGCGGTGGAGCCGGTTGGGGACTGGCGGGAGCGCTTGAAGCTGGCCGAGCGTCGCATGCCCTGCGGGCTGTCGGGCCGCAGCCGCAGCAGCTCCAGCAGACTGTCCTGGCTCAGTGTCTTCACATCATTCTCGCTGCTGCTGCGGCCGAAGCCACTGTCGCCATTGTCCCGGTCAGCGCTGGCCCACGAGTGGCGCTTCTCCTCCAGCTCTAGCAGCCGCCGCTGCCTGGCCATCTCCTTCTGCTCCTGCTCCTGGTTATCCTGCAAGGGGAGCAGAGCGGGTGTTTATGCAGCTTGAACTCTGCACGTGTTACGGCTCAGGCTTAAAGCAGGACGTGTTACAGCTCAGACTCACAACAGGACTCTTTACGGCTCAGACTCAGACTCACGGCGGGACTTCTTACAGCTGACTCACAGCAGACTCTTTACAGCTCAGACTGACAACTGGACTCTTTACAGCTCAGACTCACAACAGAACTCTTTATGGCCTCAAACAAGAGCTTAATATCTGATGCATAACATATATCAGAAATCATACTACAGTCATTTATAACAAAGCATTTTCAGAAAATTTCACACTTGCAGGCAGAAATCTATCTTTCATGCTATGAAATATCATTATTTTTACCTTGACAGCTTTTTGGAATTTTTGGCAGAAATCCTGGAATATCCTGAAACATTCGTCCAGTTTGAACGTGTCCTTGTCTTCACAGAAGAAATCGATTAACACATTTCCCTCCCTGCGGAGGTCCAGCCAGCTCCTGGACAGCTCTTCCAAGGCTTTCTTTGATTGCTGAGGGCACAGGCGTTTAAAATACTGTCAGTTTCGGGGCAGTCTTTAGCAGTTCGGAGTAACGTCACACACAGCTGTCGCACGCACAGAAAACACGGCCGCACCCAAGGATGTTTTTGGCAAAGGAGAGGAAATGTGTGATTTCACAGCTCCTGCTCAACCACATGGCACCATCAGAAATGTGCAGATAGTACTGTTTCCTAAATCAGTGTATCTAAGAGGGAAAGCAGGATCAGACAGTCCCAAGAGCAGTTGGGGTTAAGGGCCTTGCTCAAGGGCCCACTGGTGACATCCCTCAGCCAACCACAGGATTCAAACCAGTGACCTTCCATTTAGAGCCATGGTGTTCTAATCTAATCTAGTCTCCCAAGTTCTCACCAGGCCCAACTGTTTAGCTTCTGAGATCCAGTGAGAGCATCCAGAGCGTTATGGTCATAAGCAGACAATAACATGTGATGGAAGCACATGAAAGAGCCCGGCTGCCTCACCTGCAGGAACCGCTCTACCTGCTGAAGCAGCTCTGTGTTCTTCTGCACCTTCTCCTCGACTGATGCGGTCCTGCTCTGCAGCGAGTGAAGCTCTGCTTCAATGTTGTCTACAGATATTCTGGCAAGAGACAGTAGGAGATACTGTGGTTAGAAAGATGAAAAAAATGCCCATTCAAACCGCAGCTACTGTAAACATAGGGTAAACATACAACAAACATAGGGTAAACATACAACAAACATAGGGTAAACATACAACAAAACACGGAGGGTAAAGTTATACGAGGGTGAAGACGCCCGTTTATGACACGTGTCATAATCTTTCTGAAATGCTGTTTAGGGGTGTTCCTTTACTCAGCTGCATCCGGAAGGATCTACAGCAGCCCACACAAAGCAGGGACATCTCTCTGATGACCGTAAGCTTCACAGAGACGTGCCTAGCGCAGTGCCGTCTCAAGGAGCAGGACAGGGTGGGGCAGACAGCGGGAGCCGGGGCGTACCGGACGGCACTGTGGACCTGCAGCAGCTTCTCGGGGAACCGCAGCAAGTTCTTGTCCTTCTTCTGCGCTTCCTGCATGGGGAGTACAAGCTGTGGTAAGACTTCATGTTATCAGGACATGACTTAAAAAACACACCACCGCCCCCCTCTGAAACCGACCATCCATCTTAGTGTTGGGCTGAGGTTTATGACTGGTTATGAGGTTTTTCCACTGGCATACAGGACCGACCCGTACCCAACCCGTACGATGAAGAGACACTAATTACAGTTCGGTTCCAGCATGCTGCAGTTTTCCACTGCAGAAGGTTCGGCTCAGTCAACACGTTGTCGGGTTTGGAGAGGGACAGTGACATAAAACCGAAGAGACACTTATTTACTGTTCACAGGAGGTACATCATGATTTACTGTGTGCAATTATTATTATTATTATTAGTGTTAGTATTATTACTAGGTACTCCACATGGAGTACATCATGATTTGCTATGGGCTTATTTCCTAATTTTCTAGCACATCTGTGAGAAGTCATCTTATGTCCGCACCAAATGCTAGCAGAATTAGCATCAACTTGCGTAAATTTGCGTTATGAATCCATTCTGTTCAGCTGTTCTATAGTATATTTATAAGTTAGGAGATTGGAAATTTTCAAGTGCCGAGTTTTCGGGAATGCATTGTCATACTACTAATAATGAATAATATAGAATATACACTCTTTCCTTCAGATAATCCATGCGCAGAACACTGGCAGCTCCGTGCATTTTGAGATGCTGGTGACACAACCAGCTCGGATTGATCACGCTTTCGGTAATGCTAGTAAGCAGGGCCATGTCAGCGCAGGTACGGCTTGGGCACAACTTGGATAACTTTACAATGGAAAAGTGCCAGTTCAGGGTACGGCTTGGTTCTTGGTGGCAGTGGAAAAGTGCCAGTTCAGGGTACGGCTTGGTTCTTGGTGGCAGTGGAAAAGTGCCAATAGACTGCTGTGAGCAGCACCTTGGCGACATTTTTTTCCTTCACTTCAACATCATTTATCAGTCAGTCTGGGCTAAAATGAGACTCTTTGACAGCCTGCATCCAGCATTAGTACATCCACAAATCCCACCTTTCACAGCAGTGAAAGTAGGCAGTCAACGGTTTCAGTGTCTACACAGACAGGAGTGAGGCTGCCGCTGTGATTTACTCATGCATTCAATTTCCCCCCCTTACAGACTCACCAGAGCTACGAAATGCAGCAGATTCATGCCTGGCTTGTTAGCCTTGGTGTCCGCCATGGAGAGCAAAGACGAGAGCTTGAAGCCCACTGCGTTTCCGGCATACCCGCCCTGCGGGGGGGAGTGCATGAGCCCGGGACTCTTCTTGTGTGCAAAGACATCCTGCCCCCCAATCAGCGATCCTGATGGGCACTTACTGCGTTCATGATGTTCCCGGCCTGCAGCACCAAGTGCAAGATGGCATGAAGCTCCTCACAAGTCATCAACTCTGCAAGTTCAGAGGATCATTTAGAAGAGAAGCGACCTCATAGATTAATGTGATACACATGTCGCATGCACCAGCAGTTCAGGCTAGAGTTAGCCCGACCTGTGCTCTGTGTTGATCCCAGTGCAGTGATGGGGACACTATGCTGTAAAACCATGGTACTGACTCCTTAAAGTCAACAAAAGATCTATGGGCATTTTTTGAATGAGTAAGGGTTATGATGCTCTGGCTAAAATTGGGCACTGTAGCCCTATAAAATCTAGCATCCTAATCATCCTCTATATGTAATTGAAGGGACCCTGACAGAAGGATATCAATGGGTCGCTTGAAACACTAAGAGTTACACTAACTTTCACATGGTGGAAGGATCTCCCTTGGCTTGCAAATTACTTTATCTGTGGGCTTTGGGCAGGGATAATGTAAAGCACTTTGAGACAATGTAATGTGAAAATGTTACACAAGTGAAAGTGAAATGCATTGAACCTTTGGTAGCCAGGCGAATGACATCAATCTCGTGGTTCATCGCTGAGCACAGTTGAGGGAACTCCTCCTTGAGAACCATGGCCTCTATGCGGACGTCAAAGCTGAAATGGAAAAAGGTCTGATCCCTCTGATACATCCTCAGGTAGAGAAGGCCGTGGAATGGGAACATTTGCAGTTTTTACCTCAGCACCTGAATTAATTGGTACATGAAGGAGTCCGCTAATGACAGCTTACTGGTGTCACCCTTGAACGCTTTGAGTTTCTTTACCTGTGGGGAAGAGGAGCCAAATTACAACCGCATCACTTCGCAAGCACAGAGCCACAGGTCCCATTAATAATGCTCCAGTTAAGCTCCACAGGCAACAGCTAGATTAGCCATGACATGAACTACAGGGCCATGTCTCTCATGACTGGAGTTTACAGTTTTCATGTAGGGACCGCTCTGTAATCACTATGACTACAGGTCACACGGTTTACATTCAATGGTGTTGCTGCAGTCACCTTGACCACAGGCATCACAGAATACATCCTGTGGTTTCTCTGCAATTACCATGACACAGGTTACACAGTATACGTCCAGTGGTATCTCTGCAATCACCTTCACTACAGGTCACACAAATTTACATCCAGTGGTGTCTCTACGATCAAGTTGACTACAGGTCACACGGTTTACATCCAGTGGTGTCTCTGCAATCATTTAGACTACAGGTATCACAGATTACATTCAGTGCTGTCTCTGCAATCGCCCTGACTACAGGTCACAGATTAATTAAACCATTGGTCTTTCTATGACTGGCCACAGCCTGTGACACGGGGAGGAAGCAGAGAGCATATGAGAATGAATGCAAGTTTACTTTCTAATGTGGTACTTTCTCCATCCCTGCACGAGGCTACTGAGCTGCATCACATGACAGCAGCAGCACTTTGTTTGGCTCAATATTATGCTGAATATTTATACAATGCAGAGGATGGAGGGATTAGAGGAGAACTTGTACTAGTGCAGACAAAAGCATTCTCATGGGAAATCATTTTCTTTGAGTAAACAAGGTCAGATGATGTAAACCTGAGATCATCTACCATTGCAAGGAGAGACACTGACCTCGTAGGTTCTGAGAGAGACACTGATCCTGTAAATTCTGAGAGACCCAGACCTTGTAGGTTCTGAGAGACACACTGACCTCATCGACTCTGAGAGAGACATTGACCTCATCAGCTCCGAGAGACACTGACCTTGTCGGCTCTGAGAGAGACATTCACCTCGCCAGCTCTGAGAGAGACACACCAGCTCTGAGAGAGACGCCGACCGTGTAGGTTCTGAGAGAGACGCCGACCGTGTAGGTTCTGAGAGAGACGCCGACCGTGTAGGTTCTGAGAGAGACGCCGACCGTGTAGGCTCTGAGAGAGACGCCGACCGTGTCGGCACTGGGAGAGACGCCGACCCAGTCGGCACTGGGAGAGACGCCGACCCCGTCGGCACTGGGAGAGACGCCGACCCGGTCGGCTCTGGGAGAGACGCCGACCCGGTCGGCTCTGGGAGAGACGCCGACCCG